TCTTTGTGATCTTAAATAAACTCATCATAGATACCAGAATTAAAACATTTTACGCCAATCGCGCGTTTCATCTAAAAAGACTCATCAGTGACGCTCAAATAAAAAATGTTAAAAAGGCCAAATAAGGAAGAGCATAAAATTCCGAACGGTTTTGTCAAATACAGTTAAGACATTGTATTGTTCATAATTTAACTGAAATATTGAGCTAGTTTGTAGTCAGTTTTGTTAGGGGACGACCATTTTATCAGGGAGTTGGTTGCAAGAGTAAGACATGAAAGAGAATTACCTTGTCCAAGATAGGATTGAAACGAATATAATGCCCCAAAAATACATGAATTAATTAAGTTCATAAGTAATAAAAAAAATGATTGAGTGACAATGAGTGTAAACGGATATTAGGTTTGCAAAACATCCCATTGCCAAACCTACTGGTTCTGTCATGTGCATTTTTTATTTGAAATTGTTGGGATTCAAATGAGTATATAATCAAGACAAAACATTGAATCAATTGTAAGAAGTCATTTAAAATATTTTCAAGCAGGATTTAAGATAGTTTCTGTTGTTGTAGCATACATTTATGATTTGAGCCTGTTAGTATAAAGATCGTTCAATTTACAATTTTTCAAAAATTAAAACTTTCTCATTTAGTTTTTATGGGACGTCATTTACAAGATCTTGACAACATCGATTGTTGTAAATGTGAAATGTCAGTGAAATGAACAGATTTCTTTTTCATTTGAAAAATAAATCTGTTTTTATTTGACTTAGATAACAAGATATCTAATCATGCTAATTGCAATTAATATATGAACGTATCAAAATGGTAAAATAAAAAAATAACTTATTCATATATTTTAATATCAGAAACGTTTAAAACCTTTAACATCAGCGGTAATTACTTAAAACTCTAGGCGCACTTTAGTGAACTAATGTATGTTCTTTTCTTTAAAACTTAAATTCCATGATTACATATCCAATGAAAATGGCGATGATTTTCAGAATTTGATCTGAGTTTGTCAATAAGATGTTTGGTGGAAATGGATAAAGTTTTGAGAACTAAACTTGTTATATTAAGGTCTGTTAGAGCATTTTGATTAGAAAATGTAAGGAGATGTAAATTTCCTCGATCATTTAGTTAACGGTGATTGGAACATAACATTATGTCAAATACATTGTGTACATATCTTTTCGTTATTTTGTCATTCTCATGTCATTATATTTTGTTTTATGACAGTGTGTTTTGTATCTGTGATATAATCAGAATAAATTTGTTGACAAAAATATATCTTGCATCAATACATTTCTCAAGTAAAATACTTTGATAATCAGAAAAAAATCTTTAGCCGTTACAAAATGAAATCAGTCTACAACATTGTAAAATTGTGTATCACACCCACATTGGGTAAACCCATATATTTTATTATTAACAGACAGCGCTTAACTAGGATCAAGGGAAATTTACACTAAATGAATAAAAAGAAATCTTATTGAAAAAAATATCGAAATAGCATTTAAAAAGCACCATACATTCAGTTTTCAATAACAGAGAGCTGCTCATACAACATCCATAGTTCTAACTGTGTATAAATCAACAAGAAAAGATTGAAGCTGCATTAGCAATGATGATAAGAAGAATAAAAAAGACGAGAATGAGAATTGCTATAATTGCTAGTTTGAAGGACCTTAAATATATATCAATATACAAATGAAATGTTTTGACACGATTGTCAATGAGACAACTCTCCAACAGAGACCAAATGACGTATGAGTTAGAAACTATAGGGCACCGTACAGTTTTCAACCATCAGCAAAACCCATACCGCATAGCAAGCTTGAAAAAGAATTTATGATATACAGCAACAAACACCAATCACTGAATTACATGCGCCTGGCTTGAAATAGGCACATGCAGAATATAGCAGAATTAATCGTGTTTGCGGACGATCAACCTATTTATATGTAAAAAACACATAACATAAAAAGACTTACCAATTTTGTTTTTTTTTGAAAATTAAAAAAAAAAATGTTTGTTTGTGATTAAAGGTATGCGATTTTTGTAATCCTCAATACGTGATTGCATTTTTTATTTTTTATGGTGTTTATGTTGATCGATTTAGTTTTCTTTGTAATGTTTTGTTGACTGTAGTTTGTCTATTTGTCTTTTTTTTACTACGGTACGTCTGTCCACATGCAAACAGAGTCTATTTTGAAAGTTATTCGTTTCCTTCCATTTTCTTTGTCACCTTTATTTACATGTTCTGAATAGGTTTATGAGATTTGAACATAGGTAATCCTCTAACTAAACACTATATCTTAAATACATATAACTTTTATCTGTATTAACATAGTGTTTTTTTTTTTTTTTTTTTTTATTCAACCAAATTCTTATCAAACTAATGTTGATATATCATAACAAACATTGTATGCACATGGTATTATTAGGTTGTCCCCTTGACTGATATTTGTGTTTAGAAATTCGCCTTACGTTCAACAGGATTTATTTGGGGATTTATCTTATTTCAACTGATGTCAGTTATTTTGGGGATAAGAAACATGGTCTTTTTTACTTATCTGTCTAATGTGTAATTCTCAATTTCTTTATAAATAATATTGAAAATGTTTTTTATTTATTGCTCATTCTAACACGTTGATCGTGAAAATGAGCAAAATTGCCATGCTTTAGCGGCATGTCTTCGACGCTTCATAAACGAGGAATGAAATTGTGTGTTCAGACTGGAGTTCAACAACAAGGACATTGATAAAGTGTATTTCGAGCATTGGTATATGTTGTTGTTGGTCCTTACACAAAACAAGACCTTATTCTGGTAAAATTATTGACAAAGGGTTAAGGTTTCGACTTTTCCCATCAAATAGTTGCATAAAAAATGACGGTCAATTACTCATAATGGTAAAAAAATCCTACTAAATATAGAATAATTCTGTAAGAATCAAAGCAGTTTTATATTCTGAAGTTGTAATTGAGGAATGACATCAAAAAAGGTAGAAGTCAAAGAACGCCAAAAAAATATGGTTGAATCAAAATTACATTATATAATGGTCTGCTAAAAATGAAGGCGAACAATGCCACTACATAAAAGAGAGGCGAAAGATACCAGAGTGACATCCAAACGCATAAGTCGAAAATATACTGACAACGCCATGGCTAAAAAAAAAGATAAAGACCAACATACAAACAAGAGTACACAAAACACAACATAGAAAAACTACTGACTGAGCAACACGAACCCCACCACAAACGCTGGGTGATCTCAGGTATTCTTGAAGGGTAAGCCTGCTCCTAATGTGGTATCCGTCGTGTTGCTCATGTTTGTACAAACCCGTTAATAAGTCTAATTCGGTAAGTCTCATTCGTGAAAAGGGGACGAGATCATAGTTACGACATTAGGAGCATATCCACAAAAGAGATTTATCAGTCAAATTGTGTAGAAGCAATTTCGATTTCAAAGCGTCGATATTGTACAAAAGTCAAAAACAACATTTCTCTGAACTCCGGTAAAAAATGTTAAACTCTGGAAGAATAAAACGTATGATGTAATCAACTGCACATGATGAAAAATAAAATAAAAACAACCAAGTTTGAGAGATTTCTATTAGAAGTACTCTAAACAATGGTAAAAGTCTCACTACTCCCATAAGTATTACCAAATCAACCTGACGATATGGTATGGTCAAGAGAATTCCAAGACAAATAATCCAGACATGTATGCAAGCTTTCTGTCTAACGGTCTCTGATAATTGATGTTTTCGGAAGGACGGCTATAAAGATATACATACTATTATCGTATCCACAGCGGTGCGAGCGCGACGGGGAATAATCTTAGGAGATTTTTTTAATACCTCAATATGTCAGCAACAACCCGACATTAATAGTCAAAAGACATATAAAGGTCAACAAAACTTTTTCTATATGGGCAAGTTTGTACAAAATATTAGGTTGTCGGTGGTCGAATGGTTAAAGTTGAGACATTGAAATATGGAACAAGACGGCCTTGACCAGGTATAAGAACATAAAGCATAGAAAATGTTTTTAAACCCTCTCTTTTTACTTTCGATCAGGTCACTTTATATTAGATACGAAGTCTTTATCATAATTAAAAAATATAACAAATAAAAGCAAAGAAAATAATAAACGGGGATCCAAACAACTAAAAGGGATTAAAAAAAACAAAATTCGTCGCATTTAATTTAAAGTCATCAAATTATCAGCAGCTATTCAAAAGATATAAGTTTTAAATTATAAGAATTTTCAAATTTCACATAACTATTTAAGCTCCCAAAAGAAAAATCATTGATACTGGTACAACAATAAAGTTTAAACCTATTTTGTGCATGTAATGTATGTTTGTCTTTTACTTATACATGTTATATATATCGTTTTACTCAAGAAATACCGCAAAAAAAAAGTTTTTTTTTTCATGTTGCTGATGAGGTATATAAAAATATTTAGAAAAATACATCCAACCATCCCACTTAAAACAATATTATATTGTTTGCGTAGTGTGTCCTTACTTTTCGAAAACCATCAGGACTTGACAAAAGTCTAGGAAATTCTAAACAAAAAGCCGATCCTATTGGGTTTTTTCAACTTCTTTTCAGAGCCTCATTGCAGTTGTTTTTTCAATTCGAATATAATTGTATTATCGATTTTATTTAACAATCGTAACTAATGATGTTTTTGTTAACACGTTACGCCCTGAATGACATGGTAATGAATCGCTTTCAATGAGTTCAATGTTTCCTGGGTTTTTTCCGTTTCAAATTTAAAGATTTTAAAGCGTTATTTTATTTTTGGTTATGTTTACTAACAACTCTCTTCTGGAAATTAAGAGATAACTGAATTGTATTTGAAGCTTTGCTTTATTTTACGGTTGCAAAATTTTAAATACAATACGGTTATTTCTATTCTTATGCTTAATAAACAAAACAGTCCATTTTAGTCATTATTTCGTTGTTTTATTTCATTAAATGAATATTCCGCGGCTGTCATTGTTTTTGTCAACTTAACAAGGTGACGTCATATGTAATGTTTCGGCGTCAAATGTAAACACAGGGCGTTTTCAGACTTCTTGTACTCCTCTGGATGTAATAAAATTAGACGATAGAAACATTTTAGGTAACAAATATTAGTTTGCTTATTTATTATGGAAGGAATAACGTGGCAATGCATTCCAGAATTCAAAAATGAATACAGACAGTTAGATAGAGGGTTTTTACGCTTGTTGCCGTCCAATCAGAAGCATTGGTACAATTGAATGCATTATAATAGTGTATTAGCCTGTACTGTTACAAATTTGTTATACTCAAATTCCTGCTCCTTCCATCTGAAATACATAAGACTGTCATGTAACACTAAGTCATACAGCATTGAACATTCTCATGTTATGTTAACTTTATTTTCATTTTGAAATATTTTGTCTGTCGTTTTATTTCATTTTACTTTAATTGGGTTAGTTTTTGTTTCTATTGATTGTTTAGCTTGATATCTGTTGGGTTTAACATGCAATAAGAATATCTATATGTACAAACTATGCTTTTCTTTTAACGACTTCAAATCAAAATGTAAACAAGCTAACATTAACCTTAAACAAGTAAACTATTTCACACATTAACTAATTTCTAGTATGGTAAATATGTTAAACACATTTGCCTCGTCAAACCGCAAAAATAGGGTACCACCGAATGGAGAATGTTTCATATCTGAACTCACAACTCATAAAATTAATGCATTGATGATTAATTTGTACTTAAATTTCAAGAAAAAAAAATGAAATTCCCAATAGTGAACCTTCCCTCATATGAAGCACCATTCCAACATTGCCTTCATATGGAATAAATATATCCCAGTCGGTATGAAAATGAAGACCTTGCATTTCCTGTCATAATTTTCTTGACAGAAGGCTGCTACTTTTAGAAATGCTATATAACGAGGTGTTCCAAAGATAAAGTTTAATCAACCTTTCGGATTTCATAGACCTTATCAAAAATGATGATAACGATTGTGACAGTACCGAATGCAACTGATCACACAATTTTATTGATCATCAGCAACTTTACGGTTTTCATTAATAGAGCAAGAACAGCTTATCCTTATTAGGCAAATAAGTAGTTTTGTAGGGTTCATATAGACTTAGTTATTTTTATTGTACGTTTGGTTTTATCCTCTGCATACAATTTTATTCTAAAAAAAAATCTTTTGATAACTTATGTCTTACTTGTTCATTTTTCAAATTCCTCTTTAGTTGTTAATGCAAAAGATAAACAGGTAATGATTTTACCGTCATTAAATTTATGTGGTAAATTGCAACTTATGTATAGCATCTATAACTTGCATTGTTATTTACGTGAATTCGTTATGTTAAGGGATTACCTCATGTTACTTACCTCTGCATAAAGCCTCGCCTTCGTCCGATTTGTCATAGCAGTCATTATGTCTGTCACACAGGGTCAAATAATCACTGATACACTGTCCATTTTTACATTTTATGTGTCCTGCCTCACATTCTATGGCTATAAAATTCAATGTACTTTCCATGCAACATTTATGAATATGTCAGGACAGAGTAGAAGTATAGTTTTGGTTTAATATCCTCTTGAGTTATTTTCATACTTCAGTTTTTTTTTCACAGCTGATAATTTTATTGGTTCAAAGATTTTTAAGGGACAAGACTTTTTTTTAAATTTTAACAATATTGGACAAAAATAAGTTATTCAAAATGACCCAATATCTTTTATTTAACTTTTTTATATTCTATGAGGGCCTCTGTTGCTGAGTTGTCTCAGTACTTCAACTACTTTTTCGCTAGCCTGTCATCACTGAGGTTGTGAGTTCGAGTCCTTCATATGGTAGGTGCGTTCGACTCCAATCTTAATTGACTAGGATAGTAATTTCTCCTACCGATTTTCAGTGTTTTTCTTCGGGTGCTCCCGATTTCTTTATCGATTAAAACTGGTCACTTCGTTTTTGAAATGGCAAACAGTGCTACAAGTGGCGTAAAAAAACAATTAATTAAATCAATAATTGTATTTGATGGAAAATATGTCACTGCCTTGTCTCATATGCTCATGTTTTTCCTTCTTTCAACTGATTGTTTTCAATATCTCTTAATCAAATGACTGCAATGTATATGTATATGTTTTAATGGTGTTTTTTACTAGGGCAAAATCAATACGAATATAAAAAAGACATATCATTACATAATTATTGTCTATTCGTCCCCTCTGTTTGTAAAAACTTTTTCTGAATGAAAAAAAAATGTCAATCATTCTTAACTTGAAATTAAGTCTACATTTTTTGGCGCAGTATACATTAATAAGATGGTATTATTCGATTAAAAACTAAACTTAGCAGTATGATGAATAAATCCTTGAAAACATTCATTAAATCATAAGGTTGGCGCCTGTTAAAACGTTTACACCCGCTCCATTTTTATGTACCTGTCCTAAGTTATCATGAGCCTGTTCTACAGTGGTTGTCTTTTGATGGTGTGGTTCATATATGTGTCTCATTTTTTCATATAGATTAGACTGTTGTTTTTCCTGTTTGAATTGTTTGAAACTAGTCATTTTGAAACCTTTTGTAGGTAACTGATCGGTGTGAGCCAAGGCTCCATGTGGAAGGCCGTACTTTGACCTATAATTGTAAACTGTTTATACATTATGACTTTAATGGAGAATTGGCACTCATACCACATCTTCTTAATCATATATTCTTTTTGCTTTTCAGCACATATTTGAAAACATATGTCTCTACCTTTACAAAATTCTGTGTTCTCCTCCGACATGTCATTGCAATGATAATATCCATCACACAAATCCATCTTTCTTATACATTGTACTTCGTTACCACACTTTGTCCATCCATCTAGACACTCAAAATCTGAAATAATTACCAAGATATTATGTCATCCAAATAAAAAGAGTAATATTGACCAATGCTCAATCAGTAGAAGTGTAGGACCCGAAAACTGTTACAAGTAGTATGATAAACATGATAAAGGTATTGATACAGTTTGTAGTTACATTATGTCATGTTGTCCTATTTTCAACGACACATAATTATTTCAATTTACAATGCAAAATATTAATAGACTCCCAGACAAAAAAAAACTTTATAATTAACTGTCGAGGTATAAACATGTACTTGTAACGGAGGGTAGAATGATTTAAACTTATATTGCGTTAATAAATATAATGATTGTTAAGATCGGAATATATTTTGTTTTGTCTTTGAAAGTACAAAAACTGTACAAAATCATTATTTATGCATAATCAAATGTGTATTATTTTCATTTATTAAACTTCAAATTATTTTAAATCTCGACACGTGTTTTGTTTTTCATTTATGATGCAACTGTCAATTAAACAAACATTAAAGGTTCTTATAACTCTAAAGCGAAATGTGTTGTATGGCATTTGTAAAATATTTTTTATCCAAATGATATCTTGTGTTAGACTTTTGCCCTTATATGTATATTATTGTCTTAGAAGGAGAAACATTTTTGTTGATATCTAAATAAATCAAATCATTAGCTTCTACAAGTGGTTACTCATTAGATATGTAGTTTATACATTACATATTGAAACCTATATGAATGACACATATAAATTCGAACACCTCATCCACTATTTATGAATGGTTAATTTTGATATGTGAGCCTTTTTTAATTGAGAGTACATATGAATTAAACATTTTTGCATGAAAACTTTTGAAGTATTGTTAATTTAACGCTGTGACAAATAACTCCTCAAATACCAGGTTAATAATTGTGTACGTCAGACGAGCGTTCTTGATACATAAAAACTCCTTCAGTTATGCTCGAATTGGAAATGTAGTACTTGTTGAAGTTTTTTTTCTCAAAATTATGCTTAATTTTAGATACATAAGTTCACAGTTTTAACATAAAGTTGAAAGTACATCGAAACAGTTCTATAATCTTTTACCTAAATAGTACTGTCGATTCATTTATTTTCGTGGGTACCAATTTTTGTGGATTTGGGAAATCTTGCATTTTCGTGGATATTTGACTTCGTGGTTATGGCAAAGTCTGCATATATACTAATTGAAAATTTGTAATTCGTTGTATTTTAAAATTCGTGGTTCCCGGGTTACCACGAAACCCACGAAAATTAGTATCCAACGAATAATATGAATCCACAGTACTACAATACTGAGGTATACAACTGGTACTTCAAATTTATAGTACAAGCCAAGTACATGTGCTGTAACATAATGGTGCTAAAATAATGCAACGGTTTACCTATCTTTTCACTATTGTTTATTTTGTGTATTAAAGATACTGTTCAGAAGTGCAAATTAAAGGTAGCTGTATGACGTGCTACTGTCTCAAATAAGATAATGGAAAAACACCGAGTTCAATATTCCGAATGATAATGAGTTAAAATTACACGAGACAAATTTCATTTGGTATGGTATAATTTTTTTGTAAGATTACTAACTGCTAAGTACAATGCTTGACTCTTGAAAAATGTTATATATCTTCATCTGGACGTATAACAAAAAGTCAAATAATGAAGATACCCAACTCCAAGGAAAATTTAAAACGGAAAGTCCCTTATCAAAGGGCGAAATCAAACACATCAAACGAATGGAAACAAACTGTCATATTCCTGACTTGGTACAGGTACTTTCTTATGTAGAAAACGGCGGATTAAACCTTGTTTATCTTATTTTGTTTTCTTTGTCCTTGTAATACTTGTACGAATTTTCAAATCACCATGATAAACAAGGAAAATAATGTTTATTCCTTTACCTTTACAGAAGTCAATCTGTTCATCTGAATCGTCATTGCAATCTCTATTGCGGTCACACTGAACTCGACCAGGAATACACTGTAGTCCGTCGGCACATTTTACGTCATTTTCTTTACATTCATAATCTGTATATTATTTGTGATAATCTAATGATATATAGTAAGTATACAGGATCATACAAAAATATTAAAAAAGGAAGGCTTGCCCATATGTATTTTCAAATTATTATCTTCTCTCGTCTTCACACGGTTGTCTCATGAAGGACAGGATAACGCTGCCGTAACAACTGAAATAATCCTCGGTGTTTTGAGGTTCGTGTTGCTCATTCTTTAGTTGTTGTTTTGGTCTTTTTAGAAAGGTGCTTGTTTTTTGCTGTTTTTTTTTTTTTTTTGCTATGGCATTGTCAATTTATTCGACTTATGAGTCTGACCATCCTTTTTGTATCCCCTGCCTCTCTTGAATTTAGATGGATATTCTCAATATTCAATAGATAACATTCAAAAATAACTTCTAGATTATCATTATAATATTTTATTTTTTTTTGTAAAACATATCATAAATTACAGATGATTATTTGCTTTTTTATAAAGTTTTACATTTTGTTGCTATTTCAACACAAAGATTCCGGTAATACTACAATTTGTATTGCATTAGGTAGATACTACTGCTCGTGGATTGTCAGTAACCGAAGGAATCATCAGCTCAATAGTCTGTACTTCGGTACTGATATGATTTATGACAAGACTTTGTAAAATAATCAATTTCAAAATTTTAAATTATAAAGAAATTCAAATTTCAACTCATTCAGGCAAAGTTGACCTTAGATTGGTTTATCTTTTATTGTTTGGTCCGTTTTGATCGTATAGCTCTTCAATTGTTTTGGTTCATATAAATTCTTGTTAAATATTCCGCTTTAAGCGTTCCTTATAAAGGTCTATTAAGAAAAGTGCTTCGGATGCAAGATATTTATGAAGTAATGTTTTCATGTTTTAGATGGTGCATTAATTCTTCAAACTTTTAAACTACATGTAACATTGCAAAATGTCACTTGTCTAATGATAATTGACTTGAAAATACACCCAACTATTTGAAGTTAGCTACGAATACTCAACTGGCTGCTATAGAAATAATTCTTCCTAATATCACTTTGAACTATGTATGAAAAGAAGCACAATCCAAATGGACAATTAAGGGTGAAAAATTGACAACCCAATTGACCAAACTAGAAAAGTACGATAATACACAATGCACTTCATAGCAAAAAGCAGTATCAACAAAACAACCCGCCCCCTTTCCCCCAAAACAAAACCAGCAACCCTGACGGTCAGCTCAGGTGCATCTGCAAATTTGCAGATTCTGCCTCACATGTGACACCCGTCATGTGTGCCATGGTAAGAACAAATTTGGCGGTGGGGCCCATTTAGTCAAAATTCAGGAATACAGGAAGTAGTAGTGTTTATGGCAATATGAGCACATCCTTTGCTATCACAGATATACCACACGATAAATTAACTGATGATTGCGTCCGTAAAACTTCTCGAAGGGTAGCCGCAATGTTATCACTTGGAAACTTTGGTTAAATTGCTTCCTTGTAAGTATCAACCCTCTATCAATGATACCACGATAGGTAACGGAAGCCGTAGAATAGCGTATTATCTGTGGGATATTTTCTCTTAATCAGCAAGCAATTTTTCTTAATGTATGTTACATCTTGCAAAATGAAAAAAATGTATCTAAAATAATGCATTCCATACCAAGACACGTTTTCAGTGACTCATCCGATCCATCCGTACAATCCTGATAACCATCACACATATACTTTGCATCTATACACTGTAAACCATCCTGACATTTTCTCATATCCAACCGACAGTCGTAATCTGCGCATGTTAATGGTTGTTTATGATTATCTATTGTTAAACTCGTGAATATTCATAAATATACAATACAGACATGCCAAAACGTGAACCCTTTCATCGGATTGGTAATAAAATACAAGATGGAGCAAGGCTGAAGAAGATTTTCGAGAGTCACAACTCATCAATAAATGAAATATTGTTTACCCCGGCTTTCTCACCCTCGGAATTCTGGATCATGTTCTTTTTTTTGTTGCTGAAACTGGATTAAACTATGACGACGAACAATCATATGGACTTACATCAATTTAATTTTTGAGACAGGCATAATTAATTCATACTCGATTCATACCAAATGCAATTTGCACATTCATCTATAGAAGAGGTATATATTAGCCCTTAGTGGTTACATACCCTGTGGCCTATGATATGGCGTTTATCAGTGAGTATCTCAATCAATTCAGTCTCTAAAAAGCCCTAGCGTAGGTTTATCAGAGTAAACATCATCTAAGTTTCACTGCCATTGTCAATGATAAGTTTACCAAAATATAGCGTCTGCATCTCATCTAAAAGAAAACATGTGTTTGCTGTCTGAGACCCTACGGCATTACAATTATTGTCGATTTTTTACTGCGCCGATTGTGTTCTATTTCCGATAATGATATGTTTAGTTCAGTCTGGATTTGAATGGCGGATGAATCTTGCAGAGCAGGATAGACTTTCCCTGTTAATCAGATCAACGCAACCGGTTTCGATCCGATTTTTTACCTTTATGCTGTGTCCTTGCATCCATTTTTGTTTTGTATATTCAAAATGGTTTCACGAATTTCGAACATTTGTAGACATCCGTTACCTTTATTGATTTTAAAAAATAATATCGGTCTTACTATAAATATATATTTTGCAATATCAATGTAAAGGTTTGTTACTTCAACTTAAATAGATATGAAAAGCCGTTTTATTTAAACAAGACCCCATTTTATATCTAAATGAATATATCACCCACTTATGCTATGCATTGGTTTTTAAAGTATTTCATATCGACCAATAATCACTTTGTTCTAAGGAATAGCATTTTAAAATATAAAACAATACCACAATTCCAATATATGAAATAATGTTGAAATGAAAGAAAAAAATCTGGTGTATGTTTTGTCAAGTTGTTAAATGTTTAAAAAGTAAAAATAACAAAAATACCGAAACACAAAGGAAAAAATCCAAAGAGAAAGACACATATCAAATGGCAAACTCAAAAGCTCAAACATATCAAACAAATGGAAATCAACTGTCCTATTCCTTACTTGATACAGCCATTTTCTTATGTTGAAAATAGTGGATTAAACCTGGTTTAATAGCTAGCTAAACCTCTCAGTAATATAACAGTCGCAAAAAAAATCGATTAAAGTTATGAAAATGCTATATACATAATTTTTTCCTAATATCGCTATGTTCTAAGCACAAAATACCAAAAGGAGAATAAAAAAGGAAAACTGACAACCGTATTGACAAAACAAGAAAAATACGAAAAAACATAATGAACTACATTGAACAAATTGAACAGTGAACAAAACGAACAGCCCCCCTCTCCAAAAATACCAAAAACACCGAGTGTGAGCTGAAAATTGACAAAACCTGCTCCACATGTTGCACTCGTCATGTGATCGATGGTAAGAATAAATTTGGCGGTGGGTCCCATTTAGTCGCAATTTAGAAAAAAAGAGAAAGTAGTGTTTAAGGCAATATGAGCACATCCTTGGTCATCACATATACTCCACACGATAAATTAACTCCTGAATGCATCCGTAAAACTTCTCCAAGGGTGGCAACAACGAAACTCTCGGAATCTTTGGTTGAATTCCTTTCTTGTGATTAGCAACCTTTCTATCAATGATAATATGATAGGTAACGGAAGCTTTATAATATCGTTTTAGCCGTGAGATGTTTTCTCACCATCAGCATTTTTAAAAAGATATGTTAAATTTCTTCAAAATGACAAACAAAAATATCTCTAAACTAATGCATTCATACCAAGACACATTTCCAATGGCAATGACTCATCCGATCCATCCTTACAATCCTGATGTCCATCACACATATGCCTTGCATCTATACACTGTAAACCATCTTTACATTTTCTCATATCCAACTCACAATCATAATCTGCGGATTTTAATGAATGTTAATTATTATCTGTTGTTAAACAGATGAATATTCACCAACGCACAATACAGACATGACAAAACGTGAACCGTATCATCGGGTTGGCAAGAAAAAAACAAGATAGAGCCAGGCTAAAGAACATTGGAGAGTAACTACTTTTACAACGACGGAAATCTGAAGCATATGTTATTTTTTTTTTTTTTTTGCTGACAATGGATTAAAGTATGTCAACGAGTAATCATAGGGACTTCCATGAACGTATGTTTAAGACACGGATAATTGAATTTCACCAGAGTTTTACTCTACAAACTTTATTGGCCCCAAATGCAATTGGCACATTCATCTATAGAACAGGTAAATATAAGCTCCAGGTGTTTACCAATACGTATCTCAATCAAGTTAGTCTTCAGAAGCTCCTATCGTATGGTTATAAGAGTGAACAAAAAAAAATTGCTTTTAATTTTGGTGTGTTTGAATATTTACCACTTTGATCTAAGGAATGACATTTCAAAATATAAAATTAGTACCAAACATCGAATAAAAGAAAAATTGTAAAAAATTAAAATAAAAACAAATGTGATGTATGTTTTGTCATATATTTATTGTAATGTCTTTATTTTTTTATTTGATGTGTTCTACTAATATATATTACAGGAACTTCTTAATCTTGAGTTTCGTTTCTTTTTTTTTTATTTTGATTGAATTGCTTCCTTGTGAGCAGATACCCCCCATCAATGATATTATGATAGGTAACGAAAGACCAATAATATCGTATTAGCCTTGAGATGATTTCTCTCCATCATCAAATTTAAAAAAATAAATGTTACTTTTTTGCAAAATAAAAAAAAGATATCTAAAATTATGCATTCCATACCTCGACACATTTCCAGTGACTCATCCGATCCATCTTTACAATCCTGCTGACCATCACACATATACTTTGCCTCTATGCACAGTGAACTACCTGGACATTTTTTCATATCCCTTACACAGCCATGATCTGCAAGTAAATGTTTGTTAATGATTATATAATTGTTAAACACATGAATATTCATAAACATAAATTACAAAATAACGTAAACCCTATGATCGGGTTGGCAAGAAAATAAACATGATACAGCCAGGCTGAAGAAGAATCGAGAGTCACTACTTATCAATACATGAAATTGTGTTTACACTTTTGCACCCACAGAAATTGAATCATGTGGTTTTTTTTAATGAAATTGTATTAAACTATTATAACGAGCAATCATAAGGACCTTACATGAATATCTTTTTACGACAGGCATAATATAATTTTCACCACGTTTGTACATATCGAACTTGATCCATAGAAGAGGTATATATTAACTCCAAGTGATAATATACCCTCTGCCTTATTGTATGGCGTTTACCAGTAAGTATCTCATTAATTTACTCTCTTTCATATTAAAATCATTCGGACTTGATGAACAGGGATCTTATAACGTAAACATTATTAAAGTAGGCTTATCGATTGAGGTTTATTCCTATTATGACAACTTTGATTCAATCTGGACTCGCATGGCAAATCATTCTTGCAGAGATGGAGTTACTCATCCTGTTGATCAGATCAACGCAAATGGTTTCGCTCCGGTATTTTGTACATTCAACATTTATGTATTTGTTTTTGATGTTTGATGGTTTCGGTTGGATAATATGTTATGTCTTATCGTTTGTAGTCCAAATAATTATAAAATTGCCTTTCAATACAATCATTGTCATGAAAATTATTTGGACGAGTATTGTGAAAATAATTGTATATAGTTCCAGATTGCATGTTAGTTACGTAAGCACGTCATTGTTTGTGATATCCTGTGGTGTTTGTCGTTGATGGAATATGTTCGTTGTTGTTCTGCGGTTTGCATGTTGTGTCGACTATTATATTATTTGTTTGTGCGTTTCTCTGTGATGAATGTTCCTTGCGTGTGTTTGTGTTGTATTTCTGTCACGTAGTCATTGTCATATAAGCGGGAGGTTTGGCTAGCCATTAAACCAGGTTCAACTCACCATCTTTTCTCAAAATGTCCTGTACCAAGTCAGGAGTATGGCAGTTGTTATCAAATAGTTCGTTTCTATGTATGTTGGCGTTTGTTATTGTTGCACTTCAGTGTTCCTGTTGTTCCTTTGATTTCCGGCCCTCGGTTTTAGTTTGTAACCCGGATTTGTTTTCCTCAATCGATTTATGACTTTTGAACACCGGTATACTACTGTTGCCTTTATTTAACCCATTATGTTGTCTCTTACCTTTTTTGAATACTCAAAATATATTCACAAATTTCGAACATTTATAGACTACTATTGCCTCCTTTGATCATAATAAATAATATCAGTCATTCTGAAAATACATATTTGGCAATAGAAGTGTAGAATTTTTTTTTACTTCAATTTACAATTTCCAAGTTCGTATTTTCACCATTATTCCGTCGGCTTTGGTATTGTCTGTCCCCTCTTGGTTTATGTTTTTTAATTTCCTCTTTGTTTCTTTTATAATATGCAACTTCTCGTAAGCCATGTAAGGTACCATTATAAACCTCATCGTAGCTTACAATTTATGCTTTGCTGATATATTATGTATGTTTTATATTACACAGATATAAAAAAAGATAGATAGAAATGCCATTACCTGCTATTGTTAAACTTCTGCATAAAATGAAGACTAATATTCTTAGAGAAAAAAAGTGCATTCTTATCCTGAAACAATAGAAAAACAGTTTAAAAATATCGCACAACTTAGTGTGATTGTTTAAACTCTAAAAATGCTAACAATAAAGTTGAACTTTTGTGTCACTCTAATGTAAATATCTTATTTTAAACTTAATCACTTTATATGGACGCCAAAGTGTTGATAATGAAACAAAACACTTACCGTTGGTAACAATGCGTTTACGTTGAATTTTACAAGAAAATACAACTCAAGACTTCCTGAAGTGAAAATGTAAATATGATATATAAAGGTCATGATTCAAATTAAGACAGTTTATATCAGAGTTTAAAATTGTCATTTATATGATATGTAAAACGTCTGCTTTTAATTGGTAAATTCGTCAAATTAAAATAATCATCGTCACGATAATTTAACATTAGTAATCGCATTTATCTTCAGTTTGTAAGTATAAATCAAGGATTACTTTACAGACAATATTTTCAGTCCTCAAAACAAAAGGATAGTTCCTTTATTTCGATCATTAAATTCAAACACGTGTTTTTATTTTTATGTAAATTCTTAAAAAAGACTTTCGAAACAGTTAGAAGACACCATATGTTTCCTGCTAGCTGAATATAAAATGAAGGTATCCCTGGCTTGGTATATGTCTCGGATTTCGATTGGCTAATGAAAAGTCACTAAATAACCCATAGCCCGAGTTTCACTAGCCCATATTAGTCAACCTGGAGAACTTGACGCTCGCGTTCCGTATTTTCGTTGTTTTACCACGTGAAAAATCGTATTATGTATGTACGTAGATTATCCATGATATCTGTGATTACATATGTAATCCACTTACAATTTTCTTCCATTATGTCGATCATTTGCATTCATTTTAGTAAATGCATCACTTTGCTACCACGTTGTTAATGGACAGGACTACTAAGCTAGTTAGGCACATGACTAACGTTGACATCAAGCTTTCTACGACATAACGCATGCGACATTGAGCGTAAAATTTTAATTAATCTAGTTTCACTGTCCCTGGAAAAAAACTTTTATTTGACGACCTTTGGAATACTACCCTTTTGATACTACTTCTCTAAATCCCGTATAAATATGACAAATTTCAATAGTAATTTACTTATGTTGATATGTATGTTGATGTATGTAGATATGATAGTAGATAACTTATAGTATTTATTTGCCTGGCAGAACAATTCTTTAAATTCATCTGACGTTCTTAAATTATTTGAATCCGTCACCACTATATCTGCTTTTATATAATATTTTGTAATAATGTTGAATTGCAGAATCTGTTTAATTCATCATGAATCGCATCAACTCCAAAAGGAGCGATACTGTGTGCGTCGACAAGGTTAGCGTATCCTGCTTTGCAATATAACCTGTAACGCTTTCAACATTCATTGATCAGTCAGAATGTCACAATCGAGAAAGTGCTGAATCGGTAAAATTACAGATCACACGATTATCCCTGTTTCTAAAGGTCCAAGATTACGAAAACATGTCGATAGTGAGTTTGAAACACAAATACAACGTATTGGTCAACCAATTCGCAATGGTGACCGTAAAATGTATGTAGTGTCGATCTCAGTTGTTATTCATCCTGACTCTGTTGAAGCAGTTATATTGTCCATGTTATAAATAGTGTTAATAATGATAGGCAAAACCTGCTATGTTTTTTAATATATATCCTTAAAAGTGTTTCAATTCTGTGTTCTCAAAATTAATTGTAATGAACTTACTACATTATCAACAACGCTCCTCTTCCTAATGATAATGAAAAAAAAATATAGACTATAAAATGAAAGCAAAGCCTTCAAATATCGATGACATATAACGACGAAAAAGTTCCGGTTGGACAATACGCAAAAACCAACACATTGATATTCAGTTTAAATCAGTCAAGGGTGTAACACACATCAATTGAAAATGTTCAGCATATCGAGGACCTGTTACTTAATTGGTATAAAGCAAACATGGTACAAAGGATTCTTTAAACGATGAAAAGAAGCTATCGTTTATCTTTAACCTCACGATTCCCTGTATAGATAATATGGTCCAAGGATACAGTTATCGTCCTTAGGTTTTCGTTGTCTACGAATATAGTCCCTAGTGTGAACAGAGTATAACTTGCATTTTTTTTTTATACACTTTTCCAATTTATTTCTTGATATTTTATGCATGAAATATTAAGTAAGGGGATGAAATTACATGTTAAAAAAATTTGGGTGCTGAATCTTTATGTTAAGAAGTGATTTGGTCCAGTTAGAAAAGGTCAAAAATTGGAATGTCTGAAGCTGTCAAACTGAATTTTAGCCCCCCTTAACACAGAATTGTCAATATTTTGAGTTAGAGCTGGTAGAAGTTTCTATAATTTTGATATTATTTGTATCAATAGTAGTACACTACACTGTAAAAATCTTTTTGCGATAGAACAGGTGCGATTTTTTTAATTTGAATTAATTGTCTAAAAGAAATGCAATACGAAATAACTGTGTTCTCGGGCCTAAGAGATGAATTCCGTAAATGTAGATTCTGTTCTTTGGCAACTTTCCTGAATGGTTTGCTGGTTTCAATTTGTCAAACTCAATAAAAGTAAAGGATTTACATCTTTGTTTGACAGAAATTATGTTAAAATGTCCCATTTTGGCATTATACGGCTAAAATAAGCATTTTAAAGCAGTTTCCATTTTATGCCTAAGAGCCATGCTGACTTTCTATCTGACAGCTTTTTATGTTCCTGATATTTGTGTTTCTGTGCTTAAATCAAATTTAATGAACCATTTGTGAACTCTGAATCTAGAGAAAAGTAGATTATCACAGAAAAAAGTGTTCAGAATATTTGTATTTATGTCCCTGGTTAAACGGCCTGTTTGATGTATGTGAAATGTGAAGAGCTTTGTACATAAAATCTGTAGTCCATCACAAATATTTCACTAAATCTGTAAAAAAAAAAAAAACTTTAAAATGATCAGTACACCCTATTTATTTCATATGCTACCATAATTTTCTTCTTTTGGATAGTAAGTGGTTCAAATATATGCCAATTGAGACTAAAACTACATGCAAGTTTTCCATTGAAAAGTGAAAAACTGGTCATCAGACCATACTGTCTGCAAAACAAAAGTTGAATTCAAGAGTCCTTTTGCAATTAGACTTCTTGTATCATAACATCTTAGCATAGAATGTGCAAAAAGTAACAAATTCCCATTTCTTATAGCCTCTGTGTGCATTTTTATATGTAAATATGGGCTACGGCCTAAATCGACTCTAAATAATTCTCAGTCTTACATGGCCTAAGACCATTTTATACTCATGTGGTATGCTTTTTGTAACTTTTCTTTACATTTAAAGTACATTTAATATATATGGAAGAATAATGTATGGTTAAAAAACTTCAAAAACTTCAAATTGGTTGAAAAAAATGCATGTTTATGTAAGGCTTCCCTTAATTCGAAAATCTCTATTTTCAGGCACAGGCTCATATAAATTTGACTTTTGAATAACTGTGATAAATCTGATAAATCAAATGAGTGTTCCGTTGCTTTTAATACTTATTATATTATATTCAAGAGTACTTAAAAAGCAAATTTTTGCAATATTTAAATTTTTAGGCCAAAATCTTGACAGTTGAAAATATTTGATTTAAACGTCAAAAATAAACATCCAAATTTCAATATTAAAATGGCCCTAGTTTCTATAATATATATCCTATGGCCATGACACTTCGCCAACTATCTCATAATTTCCTAAGCTTAGGTCATGCAAAGTTTTATTAAAATTGGTCAAGTCTTTCTATCCTATTAGGTCCAAGGACACAGTTATCGTCCTTAGGTTTTCTTTTTCATTTTTTTTTTTATACACTTTTCCAATTTATTTCTTGATATTTTATGCATGAAATATTAAGTAAGGGGATGAAATTACATGTTAAAAAATTTTGGGTGCTGAATCTTTATGTTAAGTAGTGATTTGGTCCAGTTAGAAAAGGTCAAAAATTGGAATATCTTTTTGCGATAGAGCTGGTGCGATTTTTTTAATTTGAATTTATTGTCTTAAAGAAATGCACTACGAAATAACTGTGTTCTCGGGCCATATCGTCTCGTTGAATAATTCAAAGTCGATGACTGAAATCAAAATGACGGATACTACTGATGCACTTGTCTGTTTCAAATTCTGATTACAAAACTGGTATCCTTGGTGAGAGTTTTTAAATCTAATACTGATGGTGGGATGAGAAATAAATGTTCCGAAACAGATATGAATACAAATTTCCAATCGGTGACTATCCGTTTGAAAACAGCAACGTTCAAACAGCACCTGGATACTGATAACATATTTATTAATTATTGCGATTGCTCAAAGTCGTATTCGATAGAAGAGTTGCGGATAACAAGTAAGCTATTGTTTCAAAAGTGTAATAGACCACTTTCGAGTTATGTCCTTCACCGGAGAAAATCGTCAATTATGCGCTCCTTTATGGCGTCAATTACCAGATAGAGGGGATCGCCTGTATCCCTGCACTATTAACGTTCATCAAGCGTCTTAGTGATCGTCATTGTGCAGGATAAACTAGAAATAATGTTTGTTCCTTAGGTACTTAATCACAATTCCCTAATGACAGCAGTGCTGATTGTCAATTATAAGAATTTAATTTGTCGAATAATTCGTGCAATATAGCATAATATTTTTCCAACCACTCGCTCAACCTGGGAACGGAAGTGACAATGCCCCGAAACGCACGAATGGTGTTCACTTAAACCAAAATTTTGGACGGAAATGCATCGAATTCGAAAGTTGCCTATTGATAAAGTTGAAGTTATATCTGCTAAGGTTTCACGAATGCCGTCATGATATGGTTCATTGCTATGCAATATGTGTATTACGAATTACCACGGATAGAGTTTAACTTTTGTAGCCTCCTTTTATCATTTATGACATTACTTATCAAAGGATATATCCTTTATTGAGGTATAAGACTGTCACCAAAATAAGAATTTTGCCAGTTTGGAATTCTGAAGATTCTCTTCTACTTAGTCCGCTGTTGTTTTCTTATTTGATCTTTATGTCATGGTTATCTCCTTAGTACTTCGCATCACTGTGCAAAACTGTAAATTTCAGTTGATATACGATACTTCTTACAATTATTACTTCACAACAGCTAGTTCTGAGTTGTTCTTAATGATTATATTCGCTTGTCAATGAATGAGTGATAAAAATGGATACTCACATAAAAGAGGAGGAGAAGTTAAATGTCACTATGGGTATTT